TAACTTCGTATAGCATACGTTAAGCGGGATTGGCCAAGGCTCTTCTATGTTCGTCTAGTCGAACCTTCAGTGGTCTTGCCGTCTCCCCCACGTATTTCTCTCCACATCCTCTACACTGAACGAGATAGACGGTGCCTTGGAGTTCACAAATCTTTTCCGACGTACAATACCGACAAGATTCTTCGTGACACCGACTTTCGTAGATCCGCGATGAAGTGAAAAGATCCTTAAGTGTAGGGGGAGGGCGGAAGACCAGTCGAATTGGAAGCTGAGAATTTTCACAGCACGGTTCGAGCCAGTTTGTTGCTGACAAACGGTAGTAAGAGTTATTCCGTCCGGTGATCTATGTGGGACCCAGGTCTCAATATTTCCTTCGACGTAGCCATTACTTTCAAGAATGCTTTCAACTTTAGCGTTCACGGCTGGGTCCCTTCGCGTCCCAAGCTTCTCCTTTGTTCTTACTAGATTTTCACGACGTTCGCCTTTCATATAGATCGGATGAGCACTTCTCGAATGCAACAATATGTTCGACGAGGCACTTTTCTTATACCATAGGTGTTCCTTGTGACCTTCACATATCCTCACTTTCGTGTTAAGGAACGGCAAGAAACCATCAGTTCCTGGGTCTTCTCTAGTAAAGGATATGTTCGCATCCTGTGCATTCAGTCTCTAGATGTCTCCACAAGATCTTCTTCTGTAGAACCAATAACAGACACATCATCAATGTAACGATTGTAGAAAATAATCCACCTGTCAACACATTGCCGACAGGCTGACGCGCATGCGCGTCAGAACCATGTCATTCATTTTTATCGTGCTTGCGCTCCTTCTTCTCGGTTTTTTGTATTCATTCTATAGATAATACATTAGCATAACTATAAACCACATGGCCAGAGTGGTCAAATATGCCTTGATTTAGCAAAGATTTTCTGAAACTTACAGAATTTTCATTCAATTCTTTCCTAATTTTTCTTTCACTGTCGTAGACATTCATATGAAAGATTGTAGAAGTTAACACATTCACGACGACGCCCCTTTTCCACTTTTCGGTCGCGTGGGACGGACGCGATTTTGTGGGCGCCGCCGCCTCACCACATAACCGCAGATTTTGTTTTGTAAATGAACAAAAACATGAACACAAAATAATTTCTGCAATGTCCAATGCGTAAAGATTATCTAAACATATAACAGTAGGATTTCGATCAGAACGACAAATAGTGGTTACGAAAAGAGAGCATTTATTCACTTTCCCCGTGAAGGAATTTAAAAGCATTTTACACTCGATTACGAGGTTTGCCCACCTATCTGTCCATTCCTAGCGCCTGGCAAGCGATTATCAGTTGGCAGCCCATATGGGCTGCCATCGTCCCAGGAGCGCATGTTGTTGGCAGCCCATATGGGCGGCCATCGGCGTGAATGTGTTAAACAACTCCATGAGTTTCAAAGATA